ACCTGGAGGGTGTGGTTGAGTGGGAGGAATTCATCCATCCTTAATCAAAGGTTAATGGTTCGATTCTTGGCTTTGAGAATGAAGCAGCCTTAAATCTCCAGGTCAATTCAGCGAGAGTGTTAGTCATTATGTTCGACGGTGAAAACCCTGGATATACACAAAACAAACAATGAAGACACTATTAGTCTTATAATGTCACTTTTAACAATCATGGGATACCTAAACGCGTGAAACGTTATAAGAATGAAGGGTCAAATTTAATCGGTTGTACACTATAGTTGGAAAATTAAAACAAGAATTTACTTTGGTAAAAAAAAGGGAATTACTTGTACCACTAAATGTCACCAAATGATTAATATCAAAAGTAGGAAGCACAGTGAAACGTCACAAAAAGCACATAGGAGCACACGAAGTCACGAACACACCACATTTCAAATGTCTATACGCTTCGTTTACAATAAGGAAAAAATATACTCCATATATCCTATTTTATCTGTTCTACTTATTATTCATTGTTCAAATCAATTCTTTTTTCATTGTTTATTTAGTTGTTTTTAAATTTAATTTGTTATATTTAATAATATTTTTAATATAGTTTCTAAATATATAAGTTTTAACTAATATTAAATTTAAAATTATAAAAAATTAAATTAATAATTATTTCAGTAAAATTTCGTTAACCGAATCAGACATAAAATATGACGGAATCAGACACAAAATAGGACGAAAACGAAAAGAGTATCTATCTACGAATATAGTCATATACTTTGCTTTATACGGTACTAAAATTTAAATTTCTTTTAAAAAAAAATAGCATACGTTACACTGTTACAGTAGGGGGGTGGGACCCAGGCGTTGCAGAAAACAGCACGGTGGACCCCCACGAGGCATCAGGATTCACGGACTACTGCTTTGCTTGGGTGGGGTTGTACGCCCCTCGGGAATGACAACTTTTTTTTCTCTCTCCCCCTGACAACATCGTGGGACCCACGTATAGACCTTGTGGGGTCCAACGTAATTTTATTTGTCCAAAATCTTTTTTAAAGAATATTATTTTATTATTAATAATAATAATTATGGTGTAATCATTTTTGGGGCAGAAGAAAAGAAAGAAAGGAGGTTAGAAAAGGCAACTCACTTTTTACCAATTCGCCTTTTTAGTTTCAATTCTCCAAGTTTCAACCCCAAAAAACTATGCTTTTATGCTTATCAAATCGTCACACGTTTGTCAACCTCTTTTTTATCACTTTCACTCCACTTCTATTTTCATTTTTTAAAATAGTAATTTTGTAAATAATTGAGAGTAAAAAATGACAATAGGTATAATTGAGAGACGAAAGTAACAATTTTTAGAAGTACTTTATTAAACATAAAATTTAATTGTTTATTTTGCTAATAAAATTCCTTCAACTTGGATAGAATAATACATACATACATACCCCATATATGATTGCTTCCCACTGAACTTGAACCATTGTACTGCTGTCTATCATCTAAAACCCCAACCCCCAAGGAATCTTAGGAAAATGCATTATTTTGGTGGTGGGGCGGGTGGGTTTTACATCTGCCGTGTTGGAAAGATTTCGATATCTCTTATATTCTAACAATGTCATAATAAAAAAAGAAAAATAAAAGGACGGTTTCAAAAGAAAGTATTTTCTTTTTTTTTTTTCAATGACTCGATATGACTAAATATCTCCTTTTTTTTTAATAGGAGATATCGAAAATTTTTCGTGTTGAGACCGATAAGTCATCATGATTTGATTTGTGTACAAGTTGGCATAAATATCGTCTTTTTTCCTCTCAAAGGCCTCTTTCATGGACAGTAAGTAGCTAGTGTTTATATGGTCCACTTAATTTGAAAATTGTCCATCCACATCACTTATCCATTCTAAACCTTATTTGTCCCCTTTTCTTTTTGGGAAGTTTTTATTTTTCACACTAAAATTAACGTTACTCTAAACTTTAGATCTGGTCTGGTAATATATCTAATCCATTCTTGGGTTTCCCACTCCAATTTTCTTATTGCTTCCAATTACCATGGTGGAATGAGGAAAAAAAATAATCCAACAACTTGAAGTATTTATAAGAGAGTTGCATTAAGAGGGTTGCTAATGCAACTCTAAGGTGTAAAATGTAAATGGTGTGCTACTACAAGTGTGCTCCAACAAAATTCGAATTAACTTCTTATATAGTATATGGGAGGGTTCAGGCGAGAACATCCTATTGTAAAAAGTGTGAAGACATCCATCTATCTAGGTTGATAAATTGTTGAAAATTGTGAGAAAAGGAAAGATGAGGTGATAATTTCGTAATTATTATAAACTTTTGTTGTGTAATTGGCATTAGATAAGTTTGAGAATATGTTCACTAATAACTAAGAGCATCCTCAATAGTTTGGTTTTTGCACAAATTTTAAGATGGAAGAAGAAATTAAATTCAAAAAAAAAAAAAAAAAAAAAAAACAGAGAGAGAGAGCTATTGTTTAATGCGCTCGGTTGGGCGCTATTGTTTAATGCGCTCGGTTGGACGCTATTGTTTAATGCGCTCGGTTGGGCGCTATTGTGTAGTGGCTGCTTGGCTAGCGTGCACGCGGATCAAGGTAATTTTTTTTTGGTAGGTCCTACTTTGGAGACAAAAACTATGTTCTTCAGCAAGAACTCCAAATCTTCTCTCTCCTTTCTCTCTCTTCTACTCTAGCAAAATCCTCCTAAAAAACCACCCCACAAACTCTATTGTGGTTGCTCTAAGATTGCAGTCAGGTTTATTTACACTATTAGGTGCATGATATGTTACAGTACAACAAACTTGAGTGCACTATTAGTACATCTTAAGTGCACAAGTATTTATCACTTGATGCATTATCAAGATTTATCCCATACACATCCAATGTTTGTTATAATTATGAAAATGTCATCACTTTTTTCTCTGTATTTTTAGCATTATCTATTCGATCATCCCAGATGTTCCCGCCACTTAAACCTACAATGCACTTAAAAGTAACGGCTGCGATACTTTCTCATATATCAAAGACATGTTCTCATTATATATATCTCTCACACACACCAAGAATTCATGTTATTGTTCCAAAATGTTGAATTCCTAATTCAATGACCCCCACATCTTGACCTGATAGAGCATTTGGAAAGATGTAAATTATGGCAACTCAGCTGAACATAGAGATTAGACATTTGATTACTATACGCAGAGTTAATTTTTATGTTAGTGTGTATAGATGCGTAATGGGAATGAGCAAGTAATACAAGATGCTCACTATCAGTGTCAAATACTGTCATCAGCATATATATATATATATATATATATATATATATATATATATATATATGTCGACATTTTCTATGTTAGTATGATTAAATTTAATATGTGTTTTGGTTTCACACCGGAAATTATAGCGATTTTGTGACTAACCAACATGCTTGCCTATGGACAAGTGTTACAATTTGCTTTTATGTCTACTACTAGTTTTGCCTATGAATTTGTTAACATTATTTATTATAACTCCCTATATTTATTGGTTGTCTGAGTAAATTAAGACCATATTTAGTAAAATAGTCAGTAAATTTTAGCTTATTTGACTACTATTATCTATTTGATTTGGTTTAACAATCAATAGGAGTGTTTGATTAATTATTTTTTGGGGAAAATGGCACTTTTTCCCCCTGAGTTATATACCTATAGTATTTTTTCCCCCTAAGTTATTGAAGTGGCTGTTTTCCCCCCTGAAATGTTAAATGGACATATTTACCCTTAAACTAAATATTTAATTTATTTTTTTTCTCCAACAAATTATGACCATAATTTGGTTCAAACTAAACAAACACTATAGCAATCAAACCGAAATATTCCAATTACAATTTAGAATCGAAATTCGATATTTAGAGTTTATTAAAATCGTGAACCGGAACGGACGGTTCATGTTCCGAACTGAAAAAATAAAATACATTTATCGTTGAATTTAGACTATTTTAAAATAAAAAATAAAATTTTAAAATAAAGACGGTTCAAAACCGCGAATCAGATCCGGAACCGCCGGTTCACGGTTCAAGATTCAATTTTTTTGATACATAATTTTAATAAATTGACATTTAAATATTGGGTTCTAGATCTGAATTATAACCGTAAACTATTAATTCGATTGCTTTAGTATCCGGTTCAATTCAAATCGAACCGTGGTCATCCCTACGTATACGCAATAATTTGTTGGAGTAGTAAAATAAATAAAATGTTTACTTTAAGGGTATAAATGTCAATTTAATATATCAGGGGGGAAAAAGCACCACTTTTAGAATAATTGAGGGGGCTAATGTGCTTACCTAAATAATTGAGGGGGCAAAAGTGCTATAAGTATATAACTTAGGGGTAAAAAGTGACATTTTCCCTTATTTTTTTTGTAACAACTTATTACTCTGAAATGCTAAAATTTAAAAAGCTGATCAAATTAGTTTTTTCGATCAACTTTTTGAGAAAGTCATTTTGTATGTAATCAGTTAACAACTAACAACTAATTTACCAAATACTTTTTTACAATCAACTAATACTATCAATTAGTTAAATTCACTAACCCAGTAAGCTAACCATCATTACCAGACACCCCTAAATGAATTTAAAATGGTATATATGAAAATTTGTGAGATATGTATTCGCAATTAAAAGAGTAATTTGATAATTGGATTCATACACATATATATCTACTATTGTGTTTTAATTATCTTCTAAAATTTTCAATCTTAAGTAAAAGCATTTTCAAAAGAAAAAAAAGGCCATAAATATTTTAAAAATTAGAAAATTCAAGTTGTATAGAATTAAATTATGATTGGTCTTGATAAATGGAATTAAGCTCGAAAACCTACAAAAATACATTCTGGTTACAAGCAGGCGAGCAGCATACAGCCAATGCCTACGTATACTTACAAAAACCATTTTCATATTCATATATATATTTGTAGAGAGAGAAGCTATATAAAAAAAAAATGGCTGACCGACCTTGAAAATCAAAAGGGCTAAGATAAAGGTGAAAAGACGTGGAAGATGAAGCTTGTAAGTTAGACAGAGAAACAGGTAGAGAGATATATATAGAGAGAGAGAGAATGGTGTAAGTAAGTTGGTGGTTAGAAAAAGAAAGGAAATATTCTTCTTTAGCTTTCATGTTTTTCTTTTGGTGTTTTCTATTGAAATCAAACAAACACTGAAACACCTCTCTCTCTCTCTCTCTTCCTTCTCAAATCTCTCTCTCTCTCTCTTGTTCTTTCTTGGTGTGTTTGTAGCGAGGATTCAAACACACACACCAGCAGCAGCTTCCTGAGTTGGTGTTTTTTGTGTGTGTAATCTTGTAAGCTTCTGCTTATAATTAGTACTGAGGTTTCTGGGCTTCCTCGTCGTCTTCTTTCGCCACAATCTGAAACTTCTTCTCAGATTTTGAATAACACCCAAGATTTTTTATCTCCTTCTGTTTGGATAAATCACACTCCCTTTTCTTCCCATCTTTGTTTTCTAGCTCCCTCTCTCTGCGCAAAACCCAGTGTTTTACCAGAAACAGAAAAGCTTTAACCTTTAAGCTCATCAAGAAATGATGTCTGGAGATGTGTTCTCAATCCCTTCTTCCCTCAAACCCATCCCTCCTCCTCCTCAAGATCCAAACCCTAACCCTAAGCCCAATCCTTCCTCCAAGAAGAAGAGAAATCTCCCAGGTACACCAGGTATTATATATATGTATATGAATTCATGATTATATGATTGAGTTTGCATGTGAGGAATTTTGTTTTTAAAAAAAGGGTTTTTATTTTTGGGTTTGTTTAGATCCGGATGCGGAAGTTATTGCGCTGTCGCCGAAGACGCTTATGGCGACCAACAGATTCATCTGCGAAATCTGCAACAAGGGTTTCCAGAGGGACCAGAACTTGCAGCTTCACCGGCGGGGGCATAACCTGCCGTGGAAGCTGAAGCAGAGGGCGAAAACGGAGGTGGTGAAGAGGAAGGTGTACATATGCCCGGAGAAGACGTGCGTCCACCATGACCCGTCGCGGGCCCTGGGCGACCTCACCGGAATCAAGAAGCATTTCAGCCGGAAACACGGCGAGAAGAAGTGGAAGTGCGACAAGTGTTCCAAGAAGTACGCTGTTCAGTCGGACTGGAAGGCCCATTCCAAAACCTGTGGGACGAGGGAGTATAAATGTGACTGTGGAACACTCTTTTCCAGGTGGGTTGACTGGGGAGTACTGTTAAATTATTAATTCTTTCATTCATGAATGAATTCATGAATTCATCAGTTCGGTTCGTACTAGGAATTTTTTAAATTTTAAGGATTTTTGTTCTGATGGATGGGAATTTATCAATTTAATGAATTAATTGTTTGTCCGTCTGGTCGGAATTTATTGCTGCCGGCCTGCCTGCTCATCATTATATTATTTATTATGTGTTTGATGCAATAAATGGCCTGAATTTGATGTTTTGATATATCAGGAAAGATAGCTTTATCACCCACAGAGCTTTCTGCGATGCTTTGGCGGAAGAGAGTGCAAGAATCACTTCTGTGGCGGCCAACACTTTGAATTTCAGAAACAACAGTGACAGTTTGATGAATCCGCAGCAAAATCTGCCTCATGGCGGCGGCGGCGGCGGAATTCCCCAGTTTCCGGCGGCTTTTCAGCAGAAACCCAGGCTGTCGCTGTGGTTGGATCAGGCGGCGAATGCGAATTCTCACCACCATCTTCAAATGCCGGCGAATTCGGCTGGGATTTTCGGGGCGGGTTCTGGGTCGTTGCCGGAAATCTTGCAGATGGGGAACTCTCCGATGATGTATGGGTCGTCGCCGATGGAGAGCTTCGGGACGTCGAATCTCTCGCTGTCGCCTCTCGCGCCGCAAGGGCTGCAGGAAACGGAGGGGATGGGGATAAGCAAAGGGATGGCGGAAACGTTAAGCTCCATGTATTCCGACAGCCTCCAAACGTCGTCGAAATCCTCGGCGGGGGGGCCGATGTCGGCCACGGCGCTGCTGCAGAAAGCGGCGCAAATGGGGTCCACGAAGAGCGCGCCGACGGCGTTCTTCGGGAACAGCTTCGGGCTCATGACATCCTCCTCGTCTTCCTCGAACAACAGAAGCGGCGAATTGCAGCACATGGTGTTCCCGAAAGAGTCGGGGTTCGACAGCGGCGCCGCCGCCGCCGCCGAGCATTCGTCGTGTTTAATGCAAAGGCAGCCGCAGGGGGTGTCGTTGAACGGGGTTAACGTTAATGCTCATCATTTGACCAGAGATTTTCTGGGCATGGGGAGTGAAGACGGGCGGCCATTTTTGGCCGAGGAGCTTGCCAAGTTCGCGTCCTCCATGGGTTTGAGCCATTTCAGTAGCGGCCATTAGCCACCGTTTTGAATTGTTTTGTCGTCGTGAAGTGTCGTCATCATCTCCTTCCTATCTTCCATATCCATACCAGCGCAGTCCTAGCTTGTACTTTCTTAATTAGTAGGCCTTACAATAATGTATCGCAACATTATATCATCATCATCATATCCTCTTCAACTCTATCTTAATTCCCATTTTCGTTTGAGGTCAAATCTTGTATGTATAGGTATTCATCAAATGCAATTTGCCGGTTTTCATTTGAGGATAATCGAAATTGGAGTTTAATTCTTTAGAAATCAACCCATATTGTGCAAAAGCAAGTGTTGATTTGAAGTAAACCGAACTCTGATCTCTTCTAACAAGACTACAAGACAACGGGTGAGAAAGAATCGATCCCTTAAAATTGAAGTGTGATTCTTTTAAACTCAACTGATATATGTTGTGCATGAACAGGCTAAGAGTTGATTTATTTGAAATAAATCGACCCCTCTTTCACCAAGATTGCAAGGCCATAGGGCAGGACCACAATAGGGACTATCGAAATTGGACTTTAATTCTTTTGAAATCAACTGATGTTGTACAAAAGCAAGTGTTGATTTGAAATAAATCGACCTCTCTTCTACCAAGACTACAAGACAACGACAGAGAAATAACCTATATGATCCCTCAAAAGTACTGAAGTGTAATTCTTTTAAAATCAACTGATATTATGCAGGAACAAGAGTTGCTTTGAAATAAATCGACCCCTCTTTCACCAAGGTTGCAAGGCAACATGGGCAAGACAACAATAGGGACTACTGGAATTGGAGTTTAATCCTTTTTGAAATCAACTGATATCTTACAACATTGAGTAGTGTTGATTTGATATAAATTGATCCCTCTGTAGTCAAGGCTGCTGGACAGGGGTGGTAAGAACCCTCAAAATTGAAGTGTGATCATTTTGAAATCAAATGATATTGTACAAAAACAAGTGTTCATTTGATATAAACTGACCCCTCTTCAGTCAAGGATGCTGGACAGGGGCAGTAAGAACCCTCAAAACTGAAGTGCGATCCTTTTAAAATCAACTAATATTGTACAAAATATAAGCGTTGATGATTTGAAATAAACCGATCCCCCTCCACCAAGCTAGGTTGCAAGGCCGGCAACCTAGGCAAGGTCAGAGTTTAATGCTTTTGAGTTTTGAAATCAACCGATATCGTACAAAAATAAGTCTTAATTCAAAATAAATCGACCCCTCTTCCATCAAGGCTGCAGGACAGGGCTAGTAAGAACCCTCAAAATTGAAGTGCAATCCTTTTAAAATTAAATTAACAGATATAGTACAACAACAAGTGTTGATTTGAAATAAACCCGACCCCTCCTTCACTAATGTTACATAGAGCAAGAGCGGTGAGCGTCTTGAATTGAATAGCAAATTAGCAATCCTTTTGAAATTGATGGACCAATCCGAATTCAAACTTAATTTTTTCCTATATTCCTACCTTCTTGGCTGTGGGCTATGGCATGGATAGAACATAGTTTCCATAAAAGAAGAGACTAAGTGTTGACACAACTGCAATGTGCCCAAATATGCCGTTGATTGACATTATGAAAATTATATTGTTGTCTAATATTCAGGTACGATGTGTGTCTGATGATCCCTCTCGTGTGTGCTCAGAGGGTTTTGGAAAAACAATGAAACATGCATAGAAACGGCGCAGAAAACTAGGTTATGGAGTTGACTGTGGGTCAAACTTATTTCGTCAACGTTGGTGGGTTTAGAATCTTTTACAAGTATATACTATACTATTTTTTTCTACAGCCTTTAGCCGCAAATACTGCCTTGAAGTAAAGCTTTGTTTGTAAAGCAAACCAGAAAACACAAAAAGGGAAGAAAAAGTCAAAATATGAGTACCCATAAAAGCTTCTTAATTTGCTCAACAAATACATACTTTAATTCTTCTTTGTTAGTTTTTTTATTCGGTAAATGCCATTTTTAATTCTTGTCTGTTGACAATATAATTATTTTTTATTCTTATTTTTGTGAAAACTTGCAACATTGCAAGACGTAACCTCAACATGCCCAGAACAGTACGTGGGTACAATAATACTACAATGTTAGTTATTAATACACAGTAGAATTTTCCTTTTTTCCCAAGATTATTATTATTACGGAGTATTATTATTTTATTTATTTATATTTTTGAGAAAGTAACAATACAATACGATGTCGGACAACCCAACCATGTGATTGGATCAGCAAAACAAAGCAATCAAACCCAATCCCTCTCATCACGCAATTAAATCAGACCATTCTTTTTACTGTCTTTACTCCCTTGTCTTATCTCTTTGTCTTCAATTAGAGTTAATAATATATTCTGGGCAAGAGTTAAACATACGTTATATATATAATATATGGTCCTCGTAACTCGTAAGTCGTGAATGTATGGATTCGACAATTCAGGTAGTCAAATTGGTCAGACAATTCACTTATTGTAACCAGAAACTAAAATTCAAAGTTTAATCCGATCTTCATAGGAGTGGTCTATTAACCTTCTTTGTTTGAGTAAGTTAGCTATAGACAGCCAAGAGTGATTTACCTCATTGTGGCTCTTTATCGGCTAGGGTTTAAGTCAGTTAAGTATGTGGCTGAATTCTTTCATATTAGACTATTTGTTGCAATAGAAAAGGATGGTTTTTACATGGGTAAATAAAATATAGTATAGTCATAGATTATGGCGTTATTATATTATTATTAATTGATTTAAACATAGAAAAATAAAATAGTATGTCTTATAATGTGTGCATGGATCGAAAAGAGAGAAAAAGAATTCATTTAACTGGCTTGGAAGTATTCAGACAGAATGTTAGGTAATCCAAAAATAAAAATATAAAATCCTCGTAAACTGAATTGGTCGTTCAAGAAATTCTAGGAAAAAAGTAGCGTGGCAACCTTGTCTCTCATGCACAGATTAACGTGCTACATTGTGTAATCTTATAATATATGAAAAATTGAGTTTGTACCCATCTAGGTCAAGACAGCAAAATCATATACAACTTATATATTATATAATTAGAGATTTTTTACGATATTAAACAACATAATAACTAATTTTTATCAAATACAATTATGTATTTAGGTTTTATTAAAGAAACGAAATATCTCCGAAGACCAACATCTTAGAAAAAATCTATATAATAATAATAATACGTAATGATAATGTTGTGTTTTAATAATAATAATAATAATAATAATAATAATAATAATAATAATAATAATAATAATAATAATAATAATAATAATAACTTATTAAATATTAGAAAGTGTGGTTTCAAAGGTGACCAATATTTTGGTCTCTTTAAGTGAAAAGGTAATAGACTTTTTGGGTGCACTTTCTGTTGGGGTTTGGGAAGCTCTACTTCAGTAGCTAACTCTTAGTGTTCGTTGTTTAGTGCTTATTTATTAGTTTCAAACAGATACAATATACAAAGTTATTTATTTTATTTAAAAAAAAAACACTTTTTAGAATGTAATTCTTTGTAATTATTGAGATTTTTTTATATAAAAAAAACTTAGAAAATTAAATTAATTTTCATTTGAAAGTTTGTGACTTCTCAATAAAATGCTTTTCATAGAAGTTCTAAATCAAGACTATTGAAAAAGGATTAACAAATTGCATATCATAGTTTATTTCAACTTTTAGGATATCCACATTTCTATTTTTACTTATCTACTTTGATGTATTTCACTTTTTATCAGCAAAGGTAAAAGAGACCGTTGTCACAAATATGACAAAGGTATTGCAGAGGAAATAAATCATAAAATATGTCTCAATGAATTAGGAATCAAGAACGGCTAGAGTGATGCTCACGGGGAATCCAACTTCAAACCTTGCTCAAAGTTTTTGAGACTTATCTTGTTATCGATCGTGTTACCTTCTCAAAAATATAAAGGTTTATTGGTAAACAAAAAGAAATCAAACATTCATGCTTTGTGACAAATATTTCAAAACTCTTAAATTTTAACAATTTTATACCAAAATTTTGTATCATGTGACATTAAATTCAATTATGTATAACAATTTTATCAAACCCTTTAAAATTTGGAAAATTAATTTCAATATTTTTAATTTGTAACACTTATAATTTCTAATTTATAAAAACAAACCCAACTTAAACGGCTTTCTTGAGTTGGTGCACAACTTATTAAAAGAAAAAAACATATTGTATCAAATTGTCTACTTTATACAATTAAAAATGTAAAATTAAACTCTCGAAAAAGCATTCATATAAATATATAAACATTTTAAAACATTATAGCCATTTATTAATACCTAAATCAGAAAATTGAAATTATTTTTAACACTATATATTATAATTAGATATAATTGTTGCATGATAAAAATATTTAATATTAAATTACTATATTTTAAAGATTTAGATATAAATATGATGGTGAATCATTTTCGCTCATTGAAATGGTAAAGCTTGCTCCTTCTCATGTGGATCAAAAGCCCACAAATATTGGGCTCCAAGCCCAAACTCATATCCTGCAATTTAGGCCCAATATACTTTCCTCGATTTAGGTTTAGAGATGGAGACGTTAATTAACGAAGCTTAGTAGTTTGAATTTCGTCGCTGGAGGCGCTTTCTCTTTTCTTATTTATCGGCGCTGATTCATATTTTTTCGCAAATATGAAATCAAAATTACTTGATCACTTTGTTTATAGTTTTTGTGTTTTTTTTCTTTTTTGAAAGGGTTTATAGTTTTTGTTAATTCGGGATTCTACTTTGATATTTGTCCGTTAAGAAAAATGCTTTTTTTTTTTTTTTTGATAAGAGAAAATTGTTTTTCTTTTGCTGTATTTTAATTGAATCTGTGTAGTTATGAGATTAATAACTGAAAGATTATGCTTTTCTGATGGATGCTGTATGGTGGCCAGGATTTTGGCGTCCTAAAACTGTTACTCAGGCAACCCATTTGCTTTTCTTGATATATATATATATTTTTTTGGGTAATTAGGGATAGGGTTTTCGGCTTTTATTTCTTCTTGTTGTTTATCTTGTTCCATTGGTTTTGATCCCGGAATGGAAAGAAAGAGATGTGGGAATACCGGTGATGACAGCAGAAAGGCTTGAGTGACAACAACAAGTATTGCGCTCCCCAGTTTTGGGGGTTGTTGTTTGCTAGGATTAATGTGCCAAAATGCTAATCTGAGGTATATTATAGCTTTGTTTTTGCCTTTCATTTTTTCTTGTTGGATCTCCTGTTCCATGGGTTTTGGTTCCAAGAGGGAAGAAAGAACAATGGAAATGCCGGTGATGACAGTAGAAAGGCATGAGCGGCAACAACAAATGTTGCGCTCCCCAGTTTTGGGGGTTGTTGTTAGCTAGGATTCATGTGCCAAAATGCTAATCTGAGGCATTTGATAGTTTTGGTTTTGATACCCGAGCAGATTGTTTGCCAGGTTGTTGCTAATGTTGCTTTGCGAATTCTTTTGGTCTTTGCCCAAAACAGATTATAATTATTATGAGATAATGGATTTGTGTTTCTCATAGTAAAAACAAAAAGATGATGCCTAGATATTGTGTCTAGTAAGTAAATTCAAACTAGTACTCTGCTGGCTGCTTTTACCATTTATGGAGTAATTTAAAAAACAAATATTAGTTGGTGCTTATTGCTATCTGTCATGTTTTGTTTGGCTTGACATTAGATGAAAAAAATGCGGATAATGCTGCACTTTTTGGGAGTGTTCAACAGAATGTGAAAGTTATGAAATACATTGAAGTGCTTAATGTGGCTATGGAGGTGCCATGGCAAGTGGGGGTCGTACTGAGTGTGCATATCTTTGCGCTGTGCCCCGTCCTTTGTGGGCAAATGACCTTAATGAGCCCTCTGACTGCCTGACCTGGGGTTAGGCGTATGACCCTAACGAGCCCTTGACTGCCTGACCTGGGGTCAGGCGGCGGGATTACACGTTGAGTTTAAGCATATCAATAAGCGATGGAAAAGAAACTTACATGGATTTCCTTAGTAACGTTAAGCGAACCGGGAACAGCCCAGCCTTAGAATCGGACAGTGCCTGCTATGGGTAACGACAGGCCTTGTTTTGTGAACGACCGTGCCTACGTTGGGCGCATGGCAGCGTGCTATGTTTACCTACGATTGGGTGACGACATGGCCTTCTATGGGTGCCAACAGGCTGTGTTGGGAGCGATGCATAGAGCAACCATACTTCATTATTTATGCAGGTTCTAATTCCATTTCATCACTGTACATCATGCAAGGAATTCATGTTCTTATTCTTGTTTTGCCATTCTACTTAGTTTCCTATTTAGTAAGTTTCTAAGCTATTAAAAAACTGACCTGCATTATATGACTAGTACAACTCCATTTTAGCTCCATCATAGGTAGTATACTAGTTTGGCTCCCTGGTCCAGAATCTTATTATTTTATTCACTCAAACTTGGGCTTTCAATGGGGTACTTAGTGCCATTAATACATTATCACAGTGCCAAATGGGAGTGACCAACTACAAATCACGGTACTAGTCTGGCTTCCTGGCCAAGAGTCCTATTATTTATTCACTCAAACTTGGGCTTTCAATGGGGTACTTTGTGTCATTATCACAGTGCCAAACAAGAGTGGCAAACTACAAATCATATAAACCGCCCTTACACCATGAAAGGCAATATGGCAGAAAAGGTCTTTTTCCAGTAAACCTGGTGGCTATGTAAAATCCTATCTGGCTGAAAGGCTGAATCTTAGCTCATTTCCTTCTCTTTCTCCTCCTGCAAGGGGTAAAAAGCCCTAAACAGCCTACTGGCTGGCATTTTACTCTGATAGGATAATTTGACTAAGGGTTAGCTCTTCCTGGGTCATCGCCGGACTTTACAAACATTCTTGTCTCGAATTGCTTTTTTAAGCATATTGAGAGGGCCAGTTGGCATTTTATGGTCAGTCTGTCACTGCGCCAATTGTTGGATGCAATTTGTAAGAGGTGGGATGCGTGATAATTGCTAATAAGGATCGTCATTATGCCACTATATGCTATTTCTCGTGAATTTACAAACTTTCTTGTCCTGCTGCCAATTCATAAGCTGCTAACTTTAACTTTATGTACTCTGAATTTATTTTTGTGATGCAGGAGTACATTAGTTTCTTCGTTCTTTCTAAACATAAATATATTTGAAATTTTATATATTCTTTATATTTACTCTCTAGAAATTCCACCAGCATTCAGATTTGTACCAAAAGTGAAGGAGCTTGTTTAATGATTGCTAATTGCATGCTTATGGTGCTTTAGGGACAGGTACATGGTCGTGTCTTTACACGACCTAACTGATCATGATGTTGCGATAAGGTTCACTCCAAGTTAACTATTTTGGCTTGAAAAATCTACCAAAGAAGCGCAAAAATACAAGCCTCTATTAACTCCTTGAACATAAGCCTTTTGAAATGGGAACAATTTTCCAGAGATGTGAAGCAAAAACCTGACAGAAAGATTGGGAGGGAGCTCTGGCAGACAGCAGACGTGAAATTAGCAGCTGAAAAGGCTCCACAGGTATGCTTTTCCTATTTTCTTCTGAAAATTTTATCATTGCTTGCTTCACGTACTATGCCGACGTAGTAATTCTAAGCTATCACAAAGACCCAGGCAACAACCTATGAAAACATTTCCCACTTGCTTCAGGTTCATGTTGCTTTGACAAAGATTCTGTCGATACATTTGGTTTGGTTACCAGAAGGCTCCAAAAGCTGGTACACCTATTTTGGTTAAAGCCTCAATCAGTGTAAAGCAATGTTTCTTCCATGTTCCTGATTCTATTGTGTATCTGAGGTGACAACACTACCTGATTGGGAATTTGATTTATGGGAAATTATTACACCTTGCCCCACCTTAGAATCTGAATTCATATTGCAATTAGCTCCCTGTCACCTCAAGACAACAATGGGGGTCAGGGAGACATTTGAAAAAGCCTATTTGTTCTTTGTTCCGTGGGTGGAACTAATTCCCCTTTGACAACATAAATAACAGCTATACATTTCTTGTCAAAGCTTTTAGGGGTTGTTTTGGTTTACAGAATGCTAGATTACTTTAGAAATGTTAAATTACTAGGAATGTTACATTCTTGTGTTTGGTTAAAATTTGAGGTATTAGTAAGGATGGAAATAGGCCGAGTTGAGCTGGACTTTAGAAATTTAGGACGTGCTTGTTAGGAAAGCCTAAGCCTGGGTCTAGACTTGGATGTAGCCTTTTGGTTTGGCTCAAGTTTGAGCTTGTATTAACATCGAATCCCGACCCTATTGTTGGAACAAGTCCTAACTGATTTTTTCATCCACTAAACCAATGCCCTAAATGTCCAACCAAGCAATAAAATCAATACTCCAACTAATCACTTTTCCATGGAAATTCAATTCAATTTATTCTCAATTCTTTTTCACAAATGTACTATCTCAACATCAAATTGAAGAATGTACTCTATCTCAACTTGTTGGACAACACATTATTGAGTGTTAAACTCTTGACAAAAGTAGTTCACCGAATTTTTTAAAAAGTGAGCGTTAACTCCTTTGACAGAAAGTAATTCACCGAATTCCCTGAAAAGTGAGTGTTAACTCCTTGATAAAAAATCACCTATTTCTTGAAAAGTTGCTAACAATGATTATACGACAGTGGCAGGTGGCAGTTAACAAACCCCTGGCAGTCACCAAAAGTCGTCGTTTCACATTGCCATTTATATCTCTTAAATATTTCTTAGTATAACGGATCACTTTTGGCTTTTTATCGGGGATCTTTTGACCAGTTTTGTATACATCACAATTAACATAGAATCCCCAACTTATTGTTGGAACAAGTCCTAAGTAATTTTCTCATCCACTAAACCAATGCCCTAAATGTCTAACCAAATAATAAAATCAATATTCCAAGTAATCACTTTTCCATGAAAATTCAATTCAATTTATTCTCAATTTTTTTTTTCAACTGTATTCTTACCTCAAATTCAAATTGAAGAATGTAATCTATCTCAACTAGTTGGACAACACTCTTGAGTATTAAACTCTTTACAAAAGTAGTTCACCGAATTTTCTGAAAAGTGAGAGTTAACTACTTGACAAAAGCAATTCATCGAATTCTCTGAAAAGTGAGCATTAACTCGATAGAAAGTCACCAAATTTTCTGAAAAGCTGCTAACAATGATTATGACAGTGGCAGGTGGCAGTTAACAAACGCATGGAAGCCCCCAAAAGTCGTCGTTTCACATTGCTTTGCCAAATATTTATATATATCTCTTAAATATTAAATATTTCTTAGTATGGCGGATCACTTTTGACGCTTTATCGGGGATCTTTTGACCAGTTTTGTATACATCACAATTAACATCGAATGCCCACCCTATTGTTGGAACAAGTCTTAAGTGATTTTCTCATCCACTAAACCAATGTCCTAAATGTCCAACCAAACAATAAAATCAATATTTCAAGTAATCACTTTTCTATGAAAATTTAATTCCATTTATACTCAATTCTTTTTCACAAATGTACTCTATCTCAACTTCAAATTGAAAAATGTACTCTATCCCAACTAGTTGGACAACACACTATTGAGTGTTAAACTCTTGACAAAAGTAGTTCACCGAATTTTATGAAAAGTGATAGTTAACTCCTTGATAAAAAGTAATTCACCAAATTCTCTGAAAAGTGAGCATTAACTCGATAGAAAGTCATCGAATTTCCTGAAAAGTTGCTAATAATGATTATGACAGTGGCAAGTGGCAGTTAACAAAAAGTCGTCGTTTCACATTGCTTTGCCATTTATATATCTCTTAAATATTTCTTAGTATAACGGATCACTTTTGGCGTTTTATTGGGATCTTTTGACCAGTTTTGTATACATCACAATTAACATCGAATCCCCACCCTATTGTTGGAACAAGTCCTAAGTGATTTTCTCATCCACTAAACCAATGCCCTAAATGTCGAACCAAACAATAAAATCAATATTCCAAGTAATCATTTTTCTATGAAAATTCAATTCAATTTATTTTCAATTCTTTTTCACAAATGTACTATCTGAACTTCAAATTGAAGAATGTACTCTATCTCAACTTGTTGGACAACACACTACTGAGTGTTAAACTCTTGACAAAGTAGTTCACCGGATTTTCTGAAAAGTGAGCATTAACTCCTTGACAAAAAGTAATTCACCGAATTCCTTGAAAAGTGAGCGTTAACTCCTTGATAAAAAGTCACCGAATTTCCTGAAAAGCTGCTAAAATTGATTTTACGACAGTGGCAGGTGGTAGTTAACAAACGCATGGCAACAACCAAAAGTCGTCGTTTAACATTTCTTTACCATTTATATATCTGTTAAATATTTTTTAAGTATAATGGATCACTTTTGGCGCTTTATCGGAGATCTTTTGACTAGTTTTGTATACATCACAATTAACATCGAATCCCCACCCTATTGTTGGAACAAGTCCTAAGTGATTTTCTCATCCACTAAACCAATGCCCTAAATGCCCAATCAAACAATAGAATCAATATTCCAAGTAATCACTTTTCCATGAAAATTCAATTCAATTTATTCTCAATTCTTTTTCACAAATGTACTCTATATCAACATCAAATTGAAGAATGTACTCTATCTCAACTTGTTGGACAACACACTATTAAGTGTTAAACTCTTGACAAAAGTAGTTCACTGGATTTTCTTAAAAGTGAACGTTAACTCCTTGACAGAAAGTAATTCACCGAATTCCCTGAAAAGTGAGCGTTAACTCCTTGATGAAAAGTCACCGATTTCCTGAAAAGCTGCTAGCAATGATTATACGACAGTGGCAGGTGGCAGTTAACAAACGCCTGGCAGTTACCAAAAGTCGTCGTTTCACATTGCCATTTATATCTCTTAAATATTTCTTAGTATAACGGATCACTTTTGGCGCTTTATAGGGGATCTTTTGACCAGTTTTGTATACATCACAATTAACATAGAATCCCCAACTTATTGTTGGAACAAGTCCTAAGTGATTTTCTCATCCACTAAACCAATGCCCTAAATGTCCAACCAAACAATAAAATCAATATTCCAAGTAATCACTTTTCCATGAAAATTCAATTCAATTTATTCTCAATTTTTTTTCCACAAATGTACTCTATCGGAACTTCAAATTGATGAATGTACTCTATCTTAACTTGTTGGACAACACACTATTGAGTGTTAAACTCTTGACAAAAGTAGTTCACCGAATTTTCTGAAAAGTGAGCGTTAACTCCTTGACAAAAAGTAATTCACCGAATTCCCTAAAAAGTCAGTGTTAACTCCTTGATAAAAAGTCACCGAATTCTCTGAAAAGCTGCTAACAGTGATTCTACGACAGTGGCAGGTGGCAGTTAACAAACGCATGAAAGCCACCAAAAGTCGTCGTTTCACATTGCTTTACCATTTATATATCTCTTAAATATTTTTTTACGTTTTTTGAGAATGACTTTGTTCAGGTGGAGGAGAGAATGGAAGAAAAGAAAAAGAATGAGGTTTTCCTGCAAAACTTGAGTTTTTATTAGAAATGTGGGACCCACTAAAATTAAATATCTCTCTGCTTGTTTTGCGTGCGCCGCAAAACAAACTCAAAACAAACTCTCAACGGGCGCGTGCACTCCACATGTCCGCCACGTGTCCACTGGGCGCGTGCACTCCACGTGCTCGCTGGGGGCGCATAAACATGTTTTATTATTATTATTATTTTTAATTTCCTTTTTCATATTTTGTTTTGTTTTTTTTTTTCCATTTTCTATTTCCTTCAATTTTCTCTTTCTTAAAGTAGTTCACCAAATTCCCTGAAAAGTGAGCGTTAACTCCTTGACAAAAATAATTCCCTGAAAAGCTGCTAACAATGAGTCTACAACAGTTGCATGTGGCAGTTAACAAACGCATGACGGACACCAAAAGTCACCGTTTCACATTGCTTTATCATTTATATATCTCTTAAATATTTTGTAATACAACGGATCACTTTTGGCGCTTTATCGGGGACCTTTTGACGATTTTAGAGTGAGGAAAAAATTGCAATGACATTTTTATAATTTTCTCTAATTATAAAGGTATATTTTCTAACAATATACGGTACACTTTGCAACACTATTTTGGTCAGGTGGAAATTCAATTCAATTCATTCTCAATTCTTTTTTATGAACCAAACTGGCGGTTATTGTTTTATGAAGAAGAAAAGCCTACCCTTCTTTAACTATCATAGTTGAGTAAATACCCAAAATGATCCCTCGACTATAGCATAATTTACAAATAAGTCATCGACTATCAAGTTTAGCATATTAAGTTCTCAATTATTCAATTCGTACTCAATACGATCCTCCATGAAGGATAATTTGTGAATTTGGCTAAAATCTTGTTTATTGAACTCAAAGTGCATTTCTTAAACTAAGGAAAAATGAGATTTGACACAAATATGTTAGGTTGGTCACTCTACTATATGCAAATGAAAGAGGGAAGGCATTAACATCCTAGTGCACGTAACCTGCACTTGTCTCCCAATAGAAACTGGAAAGAAAGCAAACCAAATGAAACCAGAAACAACAATTATTTCTCATCACAGTTGTACTTGAGAAGGTGACAACATTTACAAAATTTTTGACTGAAAATTAACCTAACTAAATGACTTTTGTGTGCCCTTCCTTGACCACACCAAAGTCCAAAATAACCCCAACCAAACTATATGCACCAATTGCCTATGTATGCATATAATCTTCACTGTTCTTGACGGGCACGATCAACTCCAGCATTCCCGGTTTCAACATCAACCGGATGCTGATCAGTTTGCGGGGTTGGATTGGACTGTGAAGACTGACTCGGAAGCTCTCCTCCTTGAGAAGTTGGTTGCTGATTCCCCCACCTCCACTTCATAAGCTCGAAAAGAATGGAAGTCGCACACATTACACCACCAAAACCGGCAAAGGTTGCCAGAAGAACTGCCA